GCCTTTCCACTCCGTCCTCTTTGTCCAGAGAGTGTGGACAAAGTCTAGTGCACCTGAGAGGAACAGTACAGATACGTAAACAAGAAGCACACAGGGAACACAAAACGCGTAACTTGAGAGCTACTCGGGTCTCCTGGTGCACGGCAATCACAGTGAGGACATCTTTTTGTTTAGAATCACTTCTAAACACCATAGCTTTAACCAAAAGCACAATCAGACACTGCGTTTAACTTCTCATTAAGTTTTCCAAAGTGTCTTTGCAATCACTTTAAACCCCGACTCGGCTGGTTTATCTCCTAGAGAAGATAAATTACTGTTGATTTGGAAACTGACGGTGTAATATTTCCTGATTTCCTGACAAAAAACACGCACACACTCAGAGGGCGCTGTATCAGGACCAAGCTTGATTTTCACACGCGTAAAGAAGGCATCTTCCCAGGAGACCACAATTAAGATTAAACGCTCATTTGTAAACTGTTTAGCAGTCCAGTCAAAGCTGCAGTATCAGGTAGTGCTTTGTCTTGTTTAAAATCTTATCTAAAGACCTTAATTATTAGTTTATATCAACAAGGTGCAGACTCTCAGTTGTAGCATGTAAAAGCTGAACGGTTCTGCTATAAATTCTATTATCATTATTATTGCTGATATTATTAACTGTTGTTGTTGCACTAGCGTTATGATTAGAATAGGGGATGCACTGCCTGAGACACTGCTGATACTTGTGTTTGAAAGAGCAGTTTAGCACATAGCCAGTGTTGCCAAAGTTATACGCTTTGCATGCAAATTCATATTGTTTTTGTTTATTGTTATGATTTGTAGTTACATAGAATGCAGTCAGTCAGCATTTGTATGATGCTGCACATCATTACTGAGACATGCTGTGATGTATGGTTTGGAGACGCTGGCACTGACAAGGAGATGAAGATGTTAAGATTTTCATTGGGAGTGAGCAGGATGGGCAGGATTAGAAATTCATTTATCAGCGGGACAGTTCAGGTTGAGAAGTTTGGAGAAAAGGTTAGAGAGGCAAGGCTGAGATGGATTGGATGGAGAGTGGATATATCAGGCAAAGGATGTTGAAGATGGAGCTGCGACGCAGGAGGAAAAGAGGACAATCACAGAGAAGATTCATGGTTGTAGGTAAGGAGGCCATGCAGAGGGTTGGTGTGACAGAGGAGGATGCTAGGGATAAGGAGAGATGGAGGCGGGTGATCTGCTGAGGTGAGAAGAAGATGCTGCACATCTTAAAATACAAACACACCCTGCATAAGTTCTCCAGTCACTGACATAAGTAGTGAAACAATGTAAGAACACTGCAGCACTAATAAAAGTGCTTATTCAATATTAATAGCGAAAATGTTCTGAGAAAAATACGAGTTACAATTTAGAAGAAAAATGACTCCTGTGTGTAAGATATTATTATACTGATGAATCAAGTAGCACTTTCAGGTGGCACCATAGTCCAGCAGCTCTACTCAGGGGCCCTTCTCCTGAGGGTTTCATGATAAGTCTGAAGAGGTTGTGAGAGAGAACAGGAAAAGTCCTGCTACAGAGATTTCCATTCATGTTTGAGACTCTGGCGTATGTCGTAAAACATTGATTAAGCTTAACCTAAGATGGAACCTTCTGACTGCCCAAGGTGTTTGACAAGATCGTGTGTGTACTTTAAACCTTCATTATTGACTATTCATTAAAAACAGATCGATCAAGTTGGCTGAACTGTGCCGGACTAGAAGTATATATATATATATATATATATATATATATATAATCCGCACAATTACTTTGTTATTCGCACCTCTGAGCGCACACCTCTGCCCTCCCTCTCCTGAAATCAAACATTCAACATGTACATTTACATGCTGCTCCTCTGTTTTCTGTCACAAATACACCCACACACCCACACACGGCTGTGAAGCACACGTCCTCAGTGCCACGAACAGAAACAGAGGCGTTAGACCAACAAGCACAACGTTATGACACCACCACAGAGCCTGCAGCATGATCCTGCAGCCACAGTCCCCGGGTATCAGTCCTCCCCACCCGGTCATTGAGCAGCCACACCGGCTGGCCGCTGTCTCTGTCAATGCGGCACCATCCGTCAAGCAGCCACTGGGAAACGTCAACACACAGAGAGAGAGAGAGGGGGGAGAGATTCAGCAGCTTTTTGCACTTACAGCGGATGACTGTCCATGATTCTGGTGTTTTTCAGAGGCTGAAAACTTGGCCCAGCGGCATGCACCATTCCATATCCACAGTGTCGTCTTCGATGGGTCTAAATTCAGGCGTGAATCACGGCGATCATCTGTCCAGAGGCGGAGAGACGGGCTGACGACAGCCCCATTAAAGCAGCCTGTTCCATAGAAACACACAGCCCGACTGCTGCGGTGACACTCTCCACAGACACGTTGCGATTCAGTCCGGCTGTTGTACCCAGCGGACTGCTCCTTATGTGGGCCGAAAAACGCGCAGGAAAGGCGCACACCGCCGGGTCAGACGGGGGTTGTTTTTACTCAGCGTCCCCTCTCTATTACTCCTGGGTGTTTATGGGTGCGAGAGGCGGACGGACAAGGATACCTGTTATTTTCCAATCGCTGATTAAAACGCACAAACAAGGACATGTCGGTAAAGACGGTCCTCTGAGCAGCCAAGGCGTCCCAGAAGAAAGCGCTGTCTCCCTCTAGCTGTGGGAGACTCACGAAACTGAACAAACACTCCGTTCAGTTTGTTCATAAAGAGACAGCTCATAAACAGGAACAGAGGACTTTACATTATAAAGTAAATCATTTACAGTATCACAAGGGGAAACTGTAAAGTGACACTGTAAATACTTTAGACTTCATCATTTACTCCAGGTTTGGTCTTATTATGATGGACAATTCTGGCCCTATTTTTGTTGCATTACTTTTTTCTTTTTTATTCAATTTAAAATAAGAACCTGAAACGTGTTTTTTGCTTCTCATCAAGCCCAAATTTTTATATCTCTAAATCTGACTTTGTAAATCAGAAACTGCTTCATAATGTCACAGTTTTGACCTCGTACTCTAAATTTGATCCTGTTATAAATTTGACTTGGTTTATGATCTACGTTTGTATCATTTTCAGCTACAGACTCAAGGTGTTTGATTTACTTTCATAAACTATAACAAGTTATTTTGATATACTACCGCAATTTTGATTAAAGGACTCAAACTTTAGATTTTTAAAGTCTTATACTTTATTAAATAAGGTCAATTTATAAATCAGTAAGTTGGAATTTAAATTTTCATGGCAGAATTTAGATACTATGGATTCAGATTTTAGATATCATATTACTGAGTGTTTGCCTCATGCTAAACCTGCCTTAGCATTTCTCTGTTTTGATTTTATTACGAAATTTGTAGTATTATATTAAGTAAGTCAGTTTTATTTATATGCACAGTTAAGACCAATGTGTTTTGTAGTAAAATAAATAAATAAACACATAAAATAATACTATACTATAATATCTAACAAAAATTTTCTTTGCACTACTTCGAAGCACTTTGCAATTTGTTCTCCGATGTATCTTTCTATTGTTTTTGTATATATTTCTCCTGTATGCTATTTATTCCTGCTGTCTACTATTTATATTTTATTCCAAAACAGCTGATGTGGAGCACCCACGATTTCGTTGTACATGTACAATGACAATCAAGTTTTATTCTATTTTATTCTTTTCTATGTCTTTTAGCTTTATATCTTACACTACTGGCTTAAATTCTTGTTATTCTGTTCCTAGTAAGTCACAATTTTGATTAAATTTAAACATAGGATTACAAAACTTTTATTTATCATCAAGCACAAAGTTTTATTTTAGCATTTTACTTTGTAAGTCAAAATTTTCTTCATTGGCATCATATTTCTCACTTATCAGTTTACTTTTATTTCATTATTTGGACACTTACTCAGAACCCGTATACAGCAGTACATGCCTGGGGCTATTGTCATGCTGCACAATGAGATCTGATTGAGACTGATTGCTTCATTATCTAATAATTCTGTGTGTATCTCGCAAACATGACCACAAATACTCATATATCTCATCCTTGCGACTAATATGTTCTGCTCTTCTCTCCCAAGTCATGTCTTTGGAAGTCAAAAATTGACATACATGAGCATTTATATTTTTTATTAGTCTTTCTGTCAATTTAGATATCTGCCTGCATTAGACACACACTATACAACATGTTAAATGTAGTCCATGTCAATCAGAAACTGTACTAAAAGAGTGGATAACTGCTAATTAAACACATTAGTATTACATTCAAAATCCAGGTTTCTTCATGTCAGGACCACAGACCCATTTGCAGACATTTTTGTCCTCGGAGCACCATCTGTGAGGATATTTTGCCTGACTGTACTGTTTGTGAACATGCAAGAGCTGTGAGAATGAGCAGAACAAATCTGCTGTGGTGTGAAGACACCAATTACATCAGAGACAACATGCTTTCATAATGCTCTGTACTCACTACTGACTCAGTGTAGTGGTGACCTGGAATAAAAGCTGTTGGCAGGTAGATTTGTTTAAACCAAAATGCCGAGATAACAATGTTATTTTGTTTTTATGTAAACACAGAGGACAAATAATTTATTTCTAAATTATGTTTTTTGAGCAACAGTCTCATGTGCGTCTAGTATTATTATATCAAGTATTACATCTATTGATGTAATACTTAATTTCCACAAAACTGAAGGATTTCTAAAGGAGTATCAATACTGAACCAAAATGCCACAACCCATTGTTTTTATCCTTTCATGCCATTTAAACACTGACCCTCTGGTTTGCACCAAAGGCTCGGTTCAGTGTTTTATCAGAAGACGATGCAAAGCTAGTTTTAGAGGTTGAGTACTACTCATTTGTGACCCACCAATAAACCCGAGGAGTACACCTTGGAAATTTTACAGGGCGAGGTCAAACCTGTTTCAATCACTATATCACAAAATGCACTCTGCAAAAAAAATTAACTAAGACTTCAGTATAGTTTCAAAAATTATATTTTATTTTTACAATAAAAAAAAATCAACAATGAAAATATTTACATAAATGAAAACAGAGGAAAAAAACTGTAGAAATATTGTAATAACCTCCCCACATTTCTGCAGGAAAGTGCTCTTTGTTTTAGATACAGTCACATTACACTGCCATCCTTCAAATCCAGACTTTATTTGCCCATTACTTCAAATGAGGCATGCACAACTGATGAATGCAAGCTCACATATCTTGTTTCTGTGTCATCTCCAGCCAGCCTCGGCGGACTCAGGTCAATCCCAACCTTGCAGAGTCTTTATTTTGGCAAGCGACTGTTTTGCTGTTTCCAGGCGTTTATTACACACACTGGATGCATAACAGCACATTTTGAGAGCGGGGCAGTTTCAAATGATGTGACTGTACATGTGGTGCGTTAGTTTTGCTTTAAAGGGGCAGGGGGCAGATTTGCAGAGGCTTGCTCCAGAAAGGCCAGCGGTCCAGGAGGGGGAAGGTCTGAGGGTTTACGATGCTGGCCGCTCACATCCTCCAGCACTTGTTGCCAGTGGTGTAGCTTCGTCAAGTGCTTTTGAACCAGCATTTCTTTTCTCTGTAGTTCATTACGCAACTCTGACACATCCTGAAGTGAGAGGACAAGTTGACGAATTGAGAAAAATGAATAATACATACATTCATGACTAGTTGTTTATTTTATTTTGCACAAATAACAAGGAAATTTATTGGAAACATAAGTGGACCCAATTCATTGCAATAGTTTACCTCTTTCACCACTTGCTCTGGTTTCTGCACAGACAGCTGAAGCCTTTTCTGTAAGAAGAAGCACTCAGTCTGCCGAGCCACATCCAGAAACTTTTGTATGCACTGGTCCACACCTACAATAAGCACAACACATGTCAGCATACGGACTAAAATGTGAAATGTGGAAAATAAAAGTGTTGTGCTTCACTGACCTGTTCGAATCTCCTCCTGGTCTGTTCCATTAACGTAATCTTGGCTCACCAGGGATGCAAAACATGCCTAAAGAATAAAAAGAGACAACATTCTTAAATCATAACAGACATTCTGCTCAACCATCTCAAATTTGGCTAAAACTTTTAAGATCAAAGGTCCAAAATCTGGGGCGACCGTGGCTCAGGGGGTTGGGAAGCGCATCT